AACTTTAGGACAAAGACTTAAAATATCAAGATAATTATATGCATTATTCCCGAGTATGAATTAGACACACTCCAGTACACACTGTATCACACATACACATCACACATACATCCCAATACATACTCCAATGAGCATATACACTCTAATATGCACCAACACACACACACACACACACACACACACACACACACACACTTTACCAACGTTGATGTCACAAACCGCGCAATCTGCCCAGTGCATCTAATGAAGACCTTTCTTAAGGACTTACCAGTTTCTTAAGGGCAGGCAGAGATTTGCATGTTCTGCACAGGAATTTCTTATAGGACAGTTTTGAAGATGCCAGAAAACACAGTGCAGAAACATTGCACATTTACCTCCTCTACTGAGATGACTTTAATTAAAAGGCATGGCTTAAACATGCTTTAATTATATATATAAACATGTATAAATATATTCACACACATATGTACATCATACAGAAATATATATATATATATATATATATATATAGAGAGAGAGAGAGAGAGAGAGAGAGAGAGAGAGAGAGAATCTTACACCTGGGAGACAAAGGCAATGTAAGCTAAAAAACAGAACCTAAAAAAGATGGTTAGTATAATTACTTCTATGGGTAAGCAGAAGCAGGCAGATCTCTGTGAGTTCGAGGCCAGCCTGATCTATGAAGCAAGTTCCAAGATAGCTAGGGCTACACAGAGCAACCCTATCTTCACCAACCCCCAATAGATTACATCCTCTTTTAAACACCAAATAATAATAATCTTAGGGATTAACTTACACAAGGATTCTTCTTTTATCTGGAAATCTTACAGCCCACTTGTCATCTTAAAAAATTACTCCATTAATACACGTCCTTCCATATTTTCCACTCTGTGTATTACAATGTGTTAAATGTGAGGAAACTGTTGAGCACGAGTAGTGTAAGAACACAGACATTGTCACCACGTTTCATAGTTTTATTGAGTTTCTCAGTTTGAATTGTCTATGGTAAGTATAATTCTGATGACCTCAATTATCAAGTTCTGTTGTTACTATAAATAGCAGATACAAGGTTGGCTGCCATGCCTTGGACACACCACACACACGCGCGCACACACACGCGCACACACACACACATGCACGCAAGCACAGAAACACGGGAGATTCTGCAGCCTGCTACAGTCAAACAATACTGTGCTTTTATGGGAAGTATACCTCTTTTTTATTACAAAGACAGTTATATGTAATCAATCCAAATTTTGTCAAGCTATCACTGATGCCAATAAACCTGAAAAGGCTCAAAGTGTCAATCAAATAACACTGTTTCATACCTCTCCATAGCATTGCTAGTTGCAAAGAAATCCGCTTTCATCATCTACATGAAAATCACAGATATTATAAAAATAAAATTTTCTTGCAAAATCGCTAAAACAACATATAACTCAAATGCACAAATTTTGATCTGTAACATAAGTTCACCTTCATTTTTTTTTTAAAAAAGTGACAGAATTTAGCAGCCAAATGATACAGTTATCACTAAAAATGTTGGCACTGAAGTTGCCAGAGTGCCTGAAGAAAACAGATTAAAGTCAATTGCAATGCAGAACTTGTTGGTAGTGTTAGGTAAAAACCCTACCTTAAAGATGTTAAGATTGTACTGTGTTGCCTTAAGAAAAAGTAAAATGCAAAGCTTCAAGATCTGGCAAAAGACATCAGCCGCACTTTTCTCTTGCTGTTTCACTAAATGTGTGTTTAAATTCTTATATCATGTCTATAATGCCCACTAGACTTCTAAATCATCCATTTTGAGTAGGAGACAAGCCTTATTTAGCCGGTGGCAGTGGAAATATTTAGGGCATATTCCAAACATTCTGAAAAGACAACACAAACTTTCTATAATACATATATATATATATACATATATATTACACAATATAAAACCTGTCTAAAATTTCCTACGCTCATTATGAATCTTATGATAGTCTAATACCAAGTTGTGCCTGTAGAACAAGAATCCTAAATGAAAGGAAGGCATACAAACCCAAATCCAGGGAAAATTAAACACATAATAAAACAGATTTTTTTTTAGATTCAAATACAAACTAGTCTTAAATGTTCAATACTAACATCTGAAAAAGTCTGAAATATAATTGCCATTTTATCTAGCATTATATTATCATAAAATATGCCAGTGTGACATTTGAATATTATACATTGCAATAAATAGAATTTACATCACTATATTGTACTTTCAAAGAAGTTTTACAGTCTGTACAGCTGAAGGCCCACGAGCTTCATCAATAAATACTATTATAGTAATTACATTCAATTGGCAAAACAAAATCTTTGATACATACTTACTAGGACCACATCTTCTAAGTTCTGTTACTAATTGAATTCTAGCTCTTGCTAAGTAGTGGTATCTGTCATATCAAAAGGTGGTATAGTGTCCTGGGTAAGTAAGTAGAGATTTTCAGGTTTTAACCTGTCCATACAACAGTTGGTAAACACAAAGAATTTTATCCAAGGACTAGATGGAAGAGTCCTAGGAAGCCTAGAACCAGATTCCAAACAGTTCTCATTGTCTGCTTTTCAAGATTTACCCCAGCACCCATGGTGCCAACAAATGAATGCCTTCTCACCTTTGCTGCACATACAAAATGGGATTCAAGTGTCAAGATTCCAGCAAATTCTCAGTAGCCACATCGTGGTTTTAATTTTGAATTTTCTCTGTGCTAAGTTTCTTCTTAATTTATCATGTTAGTGCAATAGAAGTTCAAAGCAACCTTCAATGAGTCAAAGAGCAATTTGTAAGGAATAACAACAAAACCGACAACAATCGCAAACCCTTGAACTTGAAACACTTTAGCAGTGTGAAATTCAGTGACTTGCTAAACCGTACATTTTTAATGTCATTCACCCAAGTGTCAACAGATCTGTCTTTACTATGAATATGCTTACTCATATCAGGCGGCACAAATTGTTTTTTTGGCTAATAACGTGTTGCTTCTTCCTGACCTGTGCACGCACAGGTCATCTCAGGGACTTCTCTTGACCTGGAAGAATTTGGCACAGTCAGTGTTATTATATTAAACGATGAAGCAAGCTAAGGAAGAAGGTGAGGCAGGGGCTGTATCTCAGTGCCTGGACTCTTGCCTAGTATTTCTTAGGCCCTGGGGCCAATCCCCAGAAAGAGGACCTTGGTTCCCCTCACCAAAACACATCCCCAAAGAACAGTTTATGAATGCTGAAAAAGTGCATTTAATATATAGCCAAGATCAGACTGGCATCATGAGATTCAAACGCAGAAAACTGTATTAAACAATGAGGAAATAATGGAGACATATGGATCACTGAGCTGTGTGTTTCTGAAATTTCCATTTGGATTAGTTTAACAAAATTACTTTTGAGCCACTGAACATTTTTGAAGTGTCAACATACTGAGGCTGTGTTTTAGATTTTTGTCTGTAGGATTCTGAAACAGAAAATGCTGCGTGAATCTTAACACCTTGGGAACTCTGCAAACCTCAAAAGTGGGAGACACCTAAAGTGTCTTCTTCAGTTGGCTTTTATGGCAAGACTGAATGTCTAAGAGAGCCACTGAGAGATAGGAAGGCTGAATGCAGCTCTTCTTCACGGGCCTGAGTAACATGAGACTTAGCAAATAGAAGCACTCCAAAGAGCTCTCAGGTCCCCGGTCACTCGTGTGTCTAAAACTGACATCCAGCCCTGAATTTTATATCATTATATCCTACTGGGTCACAAAAGTTCTTTTTTTGTCTTAGGAAGTACTTTAAAAGCACTTTCTAGCGTCATTTATAACCTCAGAAGATAGCCGGTAAAGACTAGCTTTCAAGCTAAAGTTCTTCCGACAGCAGGTTATTTATTTGTGACTGTTTCCTCATTATTTTAATTATATTAAGTTTGGTGATACCAAGGACTACAAATGTAGCAATTCGTTACTCATTGAAAATTCTTTTTAAATTTCAATACCTTCTTACAAATATTTCACTGTTGCTTAGCAGACAAGAGTAGAAAACAATGGCTATCCCCTAACTACAGAGGGCTTGATGTATACTTTCAATTGCCTTCTTTTCAGTTTTATGGTGCCTCGGTTATTTTCAAGTTAATTTCCTTTACTTTCTCTCTGCCAGTGTTTTTCATTTCAAGAGTCATTAAAAGATTACAATTTGTTAAAAGACTACAGCTGCCCATGCTCTTGGCACACCTATGACTTCCTTACATTCACGTTTCAGTAGGCATTTCCTACTTTCAAGAACTCTGAGGAATCAGAAAGAACCTTCCCATTATTATTTTAGCTTTGTGTCCTTCTTCTAGAACTCTTCTCCCCACCCCCAGCCGCATTGTGAACGTCTGTCAACCAGTCCTCTAAAACACTACCAGCCCTGCCTGCCCTATAGCCCTCAATCTAACATTCTGCTGCTTCAGCCAACCAACCTTTAGTCTGAAATTTAACTGTGATTTCTCAAAATTGTTTTCACAGATGTGGGTGAGTACTTCTCTTGGAACACAAAGTCCAAAGACACTGCACAGCAGTGGAGCAAGTGAGGGCTTTTTTTTTTTTTTTTTTTTTTTTTTATCCCAGGAAGCCTAACAGTCCACAATATTTATAAGAAAAACACATGCACTTCAATTATTTTGAATGTATTTTGCCAATAATATAATATCCGCATCCTCCCACCACCAAACATTAAACAAGCAATGTGCAGGAATCAGTCTTCCAGAACTGACTGGAAATACTCATTTTCCACACATAAGAGTCCATTGATTTTATTTTCCTTTTCAATTCCCCAAATACATTATCAGCCACCATCTATGCTTCCGAGGAACTGAAGGGCACGGAGCGCGGGCAGCTGTTCATTACTGAATGGATTGACCTGTGTGGCATAAGCCTAGGCCAAGCAGTTTTTGAAAGTAGAGACTTTAGTTTGTTTTCACCATGAGATACACACAGCAACAGAGGCTGGACAAATCACAAACTCCAATTCCAGGCAGCCAGTTTTTCTGGGAGAAACTTTTAATATCAAAAGTGCTCTGCTACACATGCACACACTCAAATAATAGCCGTGCCTGTGAGTTTCAAAGGGAGAAGAGGGCGTGTTTATCTAGGTGGCACAGCTCGATTACACAGACTCCTAGTGAGTAAGAAAGGAGCTTACAGGAAAGGAAGAGAAACGTGAGCGTGCAATAAACCGATGCTTCCTTTTTTTTTTTTTTTTTTTCCCTCAACTCACTACTGTCTGATCTGGAGCACTAGGAACTTAAGGAGAACAAGAAGGTAGTTGGTTCTGTGAGCATCCTACCATGTTACAAAAGGGAGGTGTTTGGGTCTGGTGCCTTCACAAGCTCGTGTCTCCATTCTGCTTGAACTCGGATAAGATATTGAGAGTCATTTCTTCACTCTTGGATTGTAAATTGGCCTCACTTCTCCTGGAAGCTTTCCTGGTGGCTCGGGACAATCTCCTTCTGAAAGTGTCTCCAGCCAAGAAATAAAGAATGGGATCCACACAGCTGTTGAGACTCGCCAGACCTCGTGTCACCTGGTAGGTGGCATAAACCCTGTCGTTGAACGCACACATTTCTGGGGTCTGGAAATCCAGCCGTGCCCGCAGATTCATCGTTTTCATCACGTGGAAAGGGATGTAGGACACAGCAAACACTGTCAGGACAATTATTACCAGGTAAATGGATTTCCTCCGGAGAGGAGAGTTGTCCAGGTCTTTGTAAATCAGAGCTCTAACAATTAATCCATAGCAGCCCAAGATCAGCACCAAGGGGATGCAGAACATGGCCACGGTTGTACACATGCTGTAGATGAAATAACTTCGCAGGTACTCATCGGCGGTGGTGTCATAGCAGGTGATGGTTTTGTTTTTCCGCATCCCAGTGCCAGAGTAGAACAGAATGGGGGAGATGGCCACCACCACAATCAGCCACACCAGCACGCTGACATAAATGGCATTCTTCTTCTTGAGCCTGCCCAGAGATTTGAGCGGGTACACCACGCCGCTGTACCTGTGTGCGCTGATGCAGGTGAGGAACAAGATGCTGCCATAGAGGTTTACATGGAAGATGAATCTCTGCAGCTTGCACATCGCATCCCCGAAGATCCAGTCAGTCTTGTTGAAGTAGTAAAAGATGAGAGCTGGCAGGGTGAGCACGTACAAAAAGTCAGCCAGAGCCAAGTTGAACATGTACACGGAGATGCCGCTCCAAGGTTTCATATGGAAAACGAACATCCAGATAGCCACGCTGTTGCCCAGGAAGCCTATGATGAACACTAAGATGTAGACCACCGGCAGGTAGTAGAATTGGAAGCCGGTCTTGGTCAGGGCACATCTGAATGAAGAGGCAACTGCTGCCGTGGAAGCTACAGTACTGTTTCCCCAAGGCGAGCCCAGGCCAGCCAGGAACGCTGTGTCCGTCCCGTTGGGGACAGCTGGCCAAGGGACCTCGGTCATCCTCTGCTCTCCAACTCAGGCAGCAACTCGGAGGGACAGACCGCAGCGAGCGGGCGGCAGCGGCGAGGGGCTCAGCGCGCATCGGAGGCGCGGGCGAGGGGAAGGGACGGCGCGCGGGAGTTCCCCACGGGTCGGGGCGCGCGGGGGCTCGCCCACGCCGGCTCTAGCCGCGCGTTCGTCGCGGGCCATGAAATTGGCCCCGAGGTTGCGACTGAACCAAGCTGAAGGACGGGCGGGCAACTTCCCGGTCCAGCTGGCAGCGCGGAGGTTACACAACAGGACGCGCAGGGCACCTCCACCAAGTTTGCAAGTGCGCTCCCGCGCGGGGCAGCAGCAGATCAGCGCTGCACTGCGCGCCCGGGGCGCGGCTCAGCGCGGCGGGGTCGAGTCCAAGTCGCTCGGCGGTTCCCAGCGGCGAGAAGGCGCAGGCCAGCCACCTCCCGTACTGATCAACTTTGCCTGGCCATCTGCCTACTCCCTACCTTGCAAGCTCGGACCTTCGCCGTGGCCACCCGCCGCTTCTTCCGGCCGCGCTCTCAGCCCCGCGCTCAGTCTCGGGAGGTCCTTTGGAGAGCGCGTGGCCGCGGATCCCGACTCTTCTAGCCTGCACCCCGCTTGTGGTCCATGAGGGCTGCAGCCTTTCCCGAGGCTCCACTGGGTCTCGATTGCAGGGGGCAGGAAAGTGAGCCAGGCTCCCAGCGGGGTAGGCGGAGCCAGAGAGCCCGGGCAAGTCCGCGCTCCGCGGGGAGGAGAGGGGCGTGTCTCCGCTGTGCAAGCTCCTGGCGGCGGACTCAGGGCTGGGCGTTGAGGGCGGGAGGTGGCCTCTGGAAGCAGGGTTCGCGGTGCCCCTGCACGCCTGGCACGGCCGCTGCCACTCGAATCAGTGGTCAGAACAAAAGATAAGCTATGGTAGCGAAGGCTACTGGCGAGCGATTGGTCAGAGGGGTTTCCTCAAGACCTCCACCAGCCAGCTCTGCAAAGTGAAGTTGCTGATACATTGGAAAGCTTCTGAACGCTGGCAGCATTTTGCCTAAAGCTGTGAGCTGAACGTTCTGGGCAGACATCCCCAGAGCCTCTCGGAATTCGCAAGGTGTTTGCAGGCTCCAGACAGCCAGCAGTCTGCAGGTGGGCACGCCCTGGCCCTGCACAGCGCCTTGCTTTGCCTAGGGCATGTAGGTACCTGCTGATCCCAGAAGGTGCCAGCTCTGAATGAGTGAGGGTGGTAATCGGCATGGGCGAGTCGCGTTCTGCCCTTCGTGTCTGTTTGTTTTTTGTTGTTGTTTTTTGTTATTGTTAATCTCAACTGTTTTTTTTTCCCCCATCAACTTAGCAAGATGCTAATAAATCAGCCTCACTGGTAACATTTTTGTGAGAATGTCCTTAAGAGCCTGATTCAACTGATGATAGCTAAGGCTACACATATCATCAGTACAACTTGTTAGATAACACTTGCTGGAAAAGACAAGCGCCATCAAACCTCCATTCACATTTAATTAAATATCAGAGACTACAGTAAAAGTATTTCAACATCAAACCGAGTATTACACCAGCTTTATAGAGAAAGAGTTCCCTTTGGGAAGTGATTAATGAATGGTTTGCCCTTGTTACCAATCCTATTTCTTAAAGTTCGTAGTTACACGTTCCTCTAGCAGATACCTTAAAAATACAGCCAGAGAACAATGCAATTAGTATATTTATGGCAGACCTTAGTTTAGGCCTCCAAATGCATAAAAAATGTAGGCAATATATTCCAAAATGTGTTTACCTTGAGTTGTAAACTAAGTGGTTATTTCTTACATGAAGACAGAATTAAGCAGACTTTCCTAAGAATAGCACCAAGCACTTTATGACAATTAACTGATTGATGTATTTTGTGTGCTACATAACAAATACATTTCTCTTACAGAAAAAATATAAGAATGAAATGTCTTCAAGTATATACTATATCTATTTCTTTCTAGTCCCATATGTTCAAAACTGTGTTCCCTTAAAAATACTAAGAAGGGGTTGGCAAAATAGCTCAGCCCCTAAGGGCATTAGTCACTTACCAGTGAGCCCAAGAACCTGGTCCCCCAATTCACGTGGTAGAAGGAAAGAACTGTCTTTTGTCCTTTGACCTCCACACTCCTACTCCACACTCGTGGGCTGTTGCACATGAGCATGTGTGCAAGTACACACAAAAACACACAATGTAGAGGGGAAACAAACAAGAAACCTTAGCGGGAAATCGTGAGCCCCTTTCTCAGATATCAGAAAGAAAATCACTCCACCCAGCATATCCTTCAGGGGAGCAGCACGTTGTACTCCATGGACCAAGTGAACACACAGGTGCTGTGAACCCCAAAGCACGGCGATGATAACAGTAGAACACAACAAGGGGTACAGGGGATGCGGCTCAGAAACAGCGTGTGTTATCTTTTCTGTTGCTCTCCAGTCTTCACATCATATGATTCCACGATTCTAAGCCTTAAGAGATGCTCCTCTATAGTTTGATTGGCAGGCTCCTAGCAGGGCTGCGTCATCTACTGTGAAGGAAAAGGAAGCAAGGAAAAACCACTAAGCCTTTCCAGGGTACTCAGGAGGTCTTGACTCCTCACTCCTTTGCATTGTCCATTTGCAATCTAAGCAGTATATAGCCTCCCGCAGAAGTCTGTTGCAAATGCATTAGCTCATCATGTGAGTGTTTTGAAACCTACCTTTGGTCCGGAGAGCACTAAGTCCTTTCAGAAAACCTACTAGAAAATTTAGGGAACTAGACTGCATCATAGACATTTTAAAAGTAGAATTTTTTTTAAAAGAGTGATTCTTTTAAATACTACTTTTACATTTATCATATTTAACTATGTATTTGTTCTATGTTTGAGGTATATTAAAATTAAAAATGCACCTTATAGGGATAAGCTACAATCATATGTTAGTAACCTTCTCTTTGTAAAATACTGAACTAGATTCAATGAAGGAAAAATTAAAAGATCACCTAAGACAGACTGCCCGTGTTCCTATTTGAATAAAATTATATATTATATATGCCTTAAAAGTGTAAGAGAAACATAGAAAAACATATGTCCCATATTGTCCCCAATATTTGCTGCCCAGCACCTGGGTACTAATTGGTAGTGAATTGAAGTTACAGTGTGTTGGGGCTCAGGGAATTCAAAATATTTGTTCTTTGACATGCCTAGCAGTCTGAACTAAAGGAGCCTAGGGGGCCACCTAGGCAAGATCTCTCTAGCCTCCTCTTCTCCTGTCTGTAAATCTTCACATTGTCTCTTGAGGTGAAGCTTGAGAGCAAGACTGTCTTGTGCTCTGGGTCCTTTGCTCCTCTGCCGGCCATGACAGTGCTTCCAAGGAAGACATGCTGCCCAGAAGTACCAACAAGAATCTAAAGAGACAGAACTAGGTTTTCCTTTCTATTTGCTGGCATTTTTATCAAACCTAAGAATAAAAGTCGACAGCTTTCTTCGTGACTTTGTGTCTTCATTATTCCAGGTTCCCACACCACATAAACTTTGGTTACCGAAAATTGACATTTTCCCGTTACTGAGCTGTGATATGTTTAAGTGTGTCCACCATAACCCTTAGGATGGGTAAGAACCTTTCATACCGTCCCACCCTTGGAGATATAAATGAGTATTAATGTGTTTAAAATGCCAAGAACACACAAAGCTTATCACAATATCATGTAACATAGCAACAGAAGTCTTATGAATGACTTCCAGAACTCTGACTTGGGGCAACAAAAGAATGAAGAAATGACAGACACATACACAGACATACAGAAAAAAGCTGAAATCAGGTGGTCTGGGTTCCCGGATGGGGAAGGCACAGTACTCAGAAGCTTACCCTTGTTTATTATAGAAAAGCGAGGCAGGGTTACAGCCCACAGCTGAACAAGAGGCAGGAGGGAGGTTAAGCTAATCTCAGTATGATCCGCCTTCAGACCATGAACATCCTCAGAGAGAGAGAGAAAAAAAAAAAAAAACTATGGTGGACATTTCAACACACTCTCAACCATTGCACTCAACCCAGCGGAAGGCTGTGTCCTTCCTCTGAGCCTCACCTTGGGTAGGCTTTGCAACGCCCATGGAGCTGGACCATTGAGGTCCTTGACGTGGCCATGATCGTAGCAACAATACACATTCACTCAGGATTTTACTAGCTCCCCGTAGACTTAGGATTTGTAGTCAGCAATAGACACAAATAAAAAAACATTGTCTATGGGCTGGAGAGATGGCTCAGTGGTTAAGAGCATGAGCTGCTCTTCCAGAGGACCTGAGGTCAATATCCAGCTCTCACATGATGGTTATCACCATCTGTAACCCCAGTTTCTGGGGACCCAATGCCTTCTTCTGGCCTCAGTGGACACCAGGCACATGTGATTCACAGACATACATGTAGTTAAAACACGAACACACATATTAATATAATAATATTAAAGTAAAAAATGAACAAAAAAAAGCTTTTTTTTTTCTAGAATATCCCATTCTACTACTGGCAATAATGTTACTGACGTAAATAGTAGGAGTGATAAAATTACCTGATCAGAAAGGTTAGGGAGTTCACCCACTGTCATGCACTAGTAACTGGGATTAAACTTCGGTCACAAACTAGTGATGGAGCTGAAGAAGTGAGGGTCGTTTCTTAGAAAGCATAACTACTAGTGGCCAGTAAGGACTCAGCATTAAAAACCAGCAATTCCCAGAAGACTCCTCTCAAGAGAAAATATTAAGCTGGTCCTCAAAGGTAGTGATAGCCACAGAGACTCTTAGAAGCTTCTCAAATGCACTCACTATGTCTTTACACAGCTTTTATAAAAAAAAAAATATAAATTGAAAATGATAATCATTAAACTCAGATATCTTTGCACTTAAACTCATAAAGAAAAGATTCTTGTGCTCAGATTCTCATTATCATCTTCAGAAAAATCTAATTATTTTCTTGTTTAAAATAAGGACGAAAAGATCACTGAGAATAATTCCAGTGTACGTCCACAGGAAAGG